GTCTATGACCCTGCTTGGGACGCTAAAAACAGCCTAAGCTGGTTGGCTGGTTTAAGCTGGAAGTAGCTGGTCTCCCAGCCTGGCACAAAGCTGGTTTTAACTGGATGTTCCAGCTGGTCTCCCACCCAGCCCGACCAGCTAAACAAGTGGTCAAAACCCCTCTAAAACCAGCCTGTTGACCAGCTATGATCAGACTGGATGACCAGCTAAAACCAGCCAACCTGCTAGGCTGGTTTTAGCTGTTATTTTTCAGCAGGGGAGACTTTGAAAGTCAAACATAAACTCGATTTTTACATTTTCTTAAAGTGAACAATGCATGCAGAACTCACAACCATGATGCAATTGCCAGGGCATTGCTATATGGTTGCTTAAGTATTCTAAATGGTTACTAGAGCATTGCTATGTAGTTTTTTGTTGTTGTTGTTGTGTGTGTGTGTGTGTGCACGTTTTTGTGACAAATGAGGACATAAATTTGTATAATGACAAGGGTATGACATAGGTATTACAAGGAGAAGGTGACTTTTCAGGACATTACCCCATGTCCCCACTTTTCAAAACGCATATAAATCACACAGAATGGAGTATATTGAAAATCTGAAATAGCACAAAGTTTCCTGTGAGGGTTAGGTTTAGGTGTAGGGTTGGTGTAGGGCAATAGAATATACGGTCTGTACAGTAGAAAAACCATTACACCTATGGGATGTCCCCACTTTTCACAAAAACAAACCTGTCTGTGTGTGTGTATGTGTGTGTGTGTGGTTTTCTGGGTAGTTGTCTACTTGTCCAAGTCAAAAAAGTGTCTCTGTTATATTCTGGTACTTAGGCCTTGGATCATTTAGTTCATTAACAAGTCACAGAGTGAGGTATAATTCTGATTACGAATTACACATTATGAAGCACCACAGAAAATATAAACAGATAATGCAGAGTTAAACAAAATAAATTTTAGAGTCCTACTTATCCTGTTGAAGATAACCCTCCAGAAGAGGGCAGCAGAATTTCACACTGAAGTGATAGTAAATGGACAAAGAGAGAGGGTCAGCACAGACTCTTCAAATACTTTTCTGTGTGACAAAGGATTTGAACCTTTGCATTTGTGTGATATATATAGGGGGATCCAAAAACTCAAGGGTAAAACAAATCTCAATTCGGTGCGCTTTACCCCAGGCTGTTCTGGACCATCTGTGGATTCAGTATACTATAAAATGGTTTTGATGACAGGGCATCTGCTAAATGATGAACAAAATCTCATATTTAAAGCACTTGGGAGACATACACAAACATTTCCATCTATCAAGTCAGCAAGATCCTTCCATTTTCAGTGATGTGTGGGCAAACTTTCTTTATTATTATTATTATTCTTTTCTCGCTTTCTTCATCTTTTTTATTGCTATTCGAGAGACACTTGCCGGATATGCTGAAGTAAAGGCACATATATATATATATATATATATATATACAGTGGGTACGGAAAGTATTCAGACCCCCTTAAATTTTTCACTCTTTGTTATATTGCAGCCATTTGCTAAAATCATTTAAGTTAATTTTTTTAATAAACACAAACACAGGCAAAGTTGATAAATACTGTTGTCGGTATAAGAGGTGAATAATACATTGAGTATGAATATTACTGTACATGAATAGGTGAGACAATAAACACACTGTACAAAGACAACATTTTACAACTTTACATTGTCCGTAGCAGCTCACTATACATTCACCTGCCGTCTTTCTCACATACAAACATCAGAGAGAGGAGCAATCGATCAAACACACATGAACTCTGGTGGGCCACAGGCCTTTTCAGACATTAAGGGGAGAATTCAGAGTTGAAGTGCGCATGTTTTTTTTTTTGCATGCGCCGCCTAATGTATTTCTGCCCCATTTCTGCTACATAAAGTATAAGATGCTTTGGTGAATCATACTTATGATACATACTTAGGACTTATGATATAAAAAGGAAAAACAAATATTTATGAGATGAAAAGTCAAAATTATGAGATAAAATTCAACATAACAGAAAGTTAATATGAGATAAAAGTCATCAGACAAAAACTAACTGAAATTGACCAAAAAATTAATACTTTTTATATCATATTTATGACTTTTTTGTCATAATTTTGACTGTCATAATAATTTTTTTTATGTCCATTTCAACTTGATCTGAAATATGACTCAGTTTCAACTTTTGGGCATAATTGACTTTTTATGTCATAATTTATCTCAAATATATTTTTCTGTCATGACTATGACTATCTCATAATTCTGACTTTCTATGTCATAATGATTTATCTCATAATTATGCCTGTCATAATTTTGACTGTCATAATTGACTATCTTTAATTCACCTTTTTCATAATTGACAATTATAATTTAGAGTATCTCAAATATGACTCAAATATGATCAACTATCTCATAATTATGACTTTCTATGTCATGATTGATCTCATAATTATGTCTTTCAAAATTTTCATAAAATTAATATTTTTTCACAATTGACATTTCCTGTCATAATTTAGAGTATCTCAAATATGACTCAAATAAGATCAACTATCTCATAATTATGACTTTTATGTTATAATTACATCTTTTTGTCAATTATTTCAGTTATGACTTTTGTCATAATTTTGACTTCTTATGTCAATTAATTTTCTCTCAAAATTATGATTTTATACTTATTAATCAATTATTTTATCTCATAATTATACATGATGTAATTTGAACTACAATTATATAATTTGAATTATAATTATGGCTTTTGATCTCCCAATCATGATGTTTTTTTTGTCATAATTTTTTTTTTATCTCATAAATATGACATTTAATGTCATAATTATGATTTAACAAAGCAGATTTTTTTTTCACAAGTTTTAGCTCCTGATTCAAAAAGGCATTATTTAAATGAAGTAACAGTGTAAATTAAATCCGTACTGCCATGTTCAATGGAGAATGTACATAAACAGCTCTTGAAAATGAAATTTCATTTAACTGCAGTACCTGGACATTAATTGCAGCAGGCAAATATTGGTGGGTTTTGTGAATAATACACACTCCATAATTAGCCTAATTTGCATATCCATAAAGGAGGTATGTTTGCACTGAAAATAATGACAATGACTTTATCGCCTGGTTAAATTGGATTATGGTTAGGGAATGCGACGTAGGTTTTCACACCAAAGTACTGCGAGTGAATTCGCCCCTCAATGAGTCTTACCAAAAAGTTCAGAACAAGCCGCTTCATCATCCAGCAGCTTCTAGGTTTCCTCAAACACAGGTTTCGTATTGTTCCAAAGTACAAAAAAAACAAAAAAACTCTACTACACGAAAACATTTGTTTTGATAAATGTTAAAGCCAAATGAGGTAACACCGAAGGGCTCTTTTGCCTTGTCTTGTGCTTTAGTAACACTAATCTCAATGTGTACAACAACGTCCTTACATAAGGACTTGTGCCTCAGGACTCTTACAAATTAAACTCATCCTTCATTTTAACCAACATAATTAGCATCGGGAGTGGTTGGAATACAAACACTTACGAGCCATCACTCAGAGAGCTATTTGTTTAAGCCGACATGATTTTTGGAGGTAATTTCCCAAGCTGATTGTTTTTGGAGGCAGGCCAGCGCGAGGGAACGAGGCGCTCGCGGAATGAGCGATCCAAGACCACACAAGAGAGAAAATCACTCGGATTTATCTTACACCGGCTCTGTGTAAATTTCCCCTTTATCCCGATGTCTACAAGAACACAAGATGTGTGCTCGCTTTGCTCTCTGTCCTGCAGAGATGCACATTTTGGCTTCAATGCATCTTTGCAGCATTACACACACTCGCACACACACGCGCACGTACATATATCAATATCACACTCGTTCTTAAGTTTCACAACTGACAAACTGCGTTTGGAATTAATACAGATATATTTACAAATATATAAAACCACCCAATGTGGACACTGGAATGGAGGAGGCCAACCTCTTATAAAGGTCTATGAGACCTACGAAAGAACTGGGAGTGATTACCCCACTCCCATGACCACAGTATTTACAACACACATTTCCAAATCCTCCTATGAATTCAGCTCTAAACCAAACAGAGTGTATGGGAACCTCAGATGCTGATATGTTATGACAACTACGATTTTTTGCTGCATGTCACTACAAGCAGGTCATGTCATCTCCATTCAGGCTTGCGGACAAAATATCAACACTGGAAATGGATGGAACACCTCTGACTATATAAACACCTACGCTGACCAAACGACAATCTGTAATGGCGACACGAGGAGGTGTTATTGAGGGACACAGTGACCTCTCTCATGTGTGTTTTCAAGTATTATCAGGAGCACAAACGCAAAAAAAAGCCTTCTGTGTATACTTTTACCCATAAGATGTTCTACATTTAGCTAACAGCTAACAGCTAATACTTTATCGAGGGGCTTTTTGAATGACACTGTTAATGAGCGCTTTATATCAACAAGCACTTGTAATCATAACAGCCCTCTTTCTCGATGAGGAGCGGCCGAAATGTGTACGTCGGTCAGCTTTGAATGCTTCTAAAGGAGGGAACGGCAGATTCCTGTTGGGATCTGAGAGTTTGTATCCATATATCAAGTCCTGGTCTGAATCCAGACTTAAACTTGGGTTAGGTCTCTGAATTCAATATCCCAACTGAAGTCCAGATTGTTAGTTTGATGGGTAATGTGTACATACGAATGCTTTGTAGCGCACTGCAGCAAGATTTCTCTTCCGAGGACTTGAGGTTTTTGGTTGGTGGCCAGGAATTGCTATTGATTCTTGAAACAGATTCTGGCTGCTCGTCCGCACGGTCCAGTAGTCTTTATCTTTCCGTATGGCTAGTTGCAAATTTAGCCTTTAGAGACTTTGTCTCCCAGCGCCTTGCTCTGCGGTTCTGGCATTATTAGGTGAACAAATTGCTTGAATTCAGAGCAACAGTTTCAGCCGCAGTTCTAGCTCTTTGAGTAGTTTCTGAATATATGTTTCTTGGCCAAGCTGGGAAAGTTCTCAAGAACTTTTTCAACAAGAGCTGTTCAGGTGACCCTTAAATCAAGAAATAACCTGTCGGATTTATGGAGATTCTGAATTTTTGTTCTCAAATCGTATGTTCAAGCCTGCTTATTCTCCATCAGTTGTTTAGTTCTGAGTTTGGATAATTTCTGAATACTTTATGAATCCATCCAGTATAGAAGGCCACGTTCACGAAAATGGCCGGTCGGTTGTGTCGGGCACATCCTCTGCCGTTTATGCTCACGCCGACAATGACTTTACTGTTACTCTCTTGGCATACTAGAGGGCCGCCATAGTCTTTCTGTGAGCATGAAAAATACAAAAAACAAAAGGTAAAAGGTATAACAAAGGTAAAAGTGCAACCAAAACCATTATAATGTGTTTCAGTTAGAAAATAAGATTGCATTTGTCTCAATATGTCAGCGATTTAAATAAGTAGCCATTCAACCATTCAAAAGTTTGAGGTCGGAAGATTTTTGGAAGAAGTCTCACCAAAGCTTCATTTATTTGATCAAACATGTTTTCTATTTTAATATATTTTCAAATGTAATATAGGAAAAAAATATTTCTGTAATGACAAAGCTGAATTTTCAACATCACTACTCCAGTCTTTAGTGCCACATGAAAAAAATAAATAAAAAGTCACATTTCTTCTTATTAGATGTTTATAACCATTTTGTTGCCTTTTTTTTGTGTGTGCATAAAACCAATATACTTTTTGTGTAGGATTCTTTGATTAATAGAACATGCAAAAGAATCATTTTTATTTTGAATAGATATATTTAAAACAATGCAGAAGTCTCTACTGGCAATGTAATGCATTATTGCATTAAAATCATTCATTTCTGACCAAAAGAATAAAAATAAAACACTTACTGACCCCAAACTTTTGAATGGTAGCTCATGCAGAGAGTAAATCTAGTGAATAAACTCACCTCGCACACTCCTTCATCTCTCCTGCCACCAGCACACAGTTCTGAACTGGTGATCGGAATTGTCCCTTTGTGAAGCTGCTGGCATCGTTCATTGCTCACTATTGGCAGATTAACTCTTTTCAATGTTCCCTCATGTCCAGTGCCTGAGAAAGCCAGAAAACACTCTATTAGAGACTATATTTGGCACATTTACTTGAATATGAACTCAGATTTGTGTGCTTTCCCTCCTGCTTTCACAATGTTACGCTATGTAGTTCCAAACCGCAAAAAGCTTCCAAAATAATTTCATCATCAACATCAATTATTTTGGAAGCTGTTTGTTAATGTTGCCTCACAACAAAACTAGAACTTTTTTTTTGCTCTCACATTTTAAATATTTGGAGCATTTTTGTGACTTTTTTCCCCCAAGCCCTGGTTAATTTCCTACCCTGCTTCCATTTTTACAATGTATTCTAGTGCTGTTCCTTGGTGTACACACAAGCTTGGTGTACACACAAGTTTGGGTAATGGATTCATCCTAATCATAAGAACCAAACTTTATGGTCAATTGAAGACACTGGGTGGTTGTTGTGTTAGGCTGGAAGCAAGACAGCAATGTTGTGTGCCTGTAAAGCAGTCAGGTGGTGGGGAGTCTCTGAAGACTGGCTCTTAAGTTGAACCCACCTTTGGTCTCACCCCAGCCGTACACAGAGCATATGGTGTCCTCCTGAATGCTGCAGTCCGCCACAGGCAGCTGAATAATTCTGACATGCTCTCTTGGGAGTGCAGGTCTGTGTGAAAGAGGAACAGAGAGGTCATTTCATCAACAACAAAGGAATAAGATCAGAGATGGAATATATTAATAATATACATATTGATTAATCGTCAGTTCTTACTGAGTCAGTCGGAGCAGAGCGAGACTAGAGCCTTCCGGGCCACAGATGACTTGCGAGATTCTCCTCTCCTGTCTGTGGAAGTCATTTTCACCCGACTCGTTCAAATGGGATATACCAAGCCAAACTCTGTACTCTGATAGGTCAGGCACACTAGGGGGGAAAAGCATATCATAAAAGTATGATTTCATGTTTTGGGCATAAATTATTAATAAATTATAAATTAATTTGTGTGTGTGTGTGCTAGGGGTTGCACCGACTAATCGACTAGTCGACTTCAATGCTCTGCCATGAATTTAGTTTTGTATGACCATTTTCTCTGATCCTTAACATTAAATGGGACATTTTCTATGTCTTTCATGCCAACAGCTTTTTATAATGAGGTGCATCAGATATACTAGAAAACTCAGCCCTCTACGAACACCTTGGCAATTGAATCGCCATTGGCTAGTAACATGTTTACAAGTACAAAATAAATTTTTCAGCCTCTTTGCAATTAAAAATTTCAGAATAAATGGTTTTCGCAGCTTTGATTTTACAAATGGTCTTAAAATGGTATTATTTTTAGACTAGGAAGGATGTTACAGTATGATTTTGTAGTAAAATGAATCTTCTTATCTCAAAAGTTCAAGCTAAATTTGATTCCCCGTGATATGACCTCTATATTCTTTTTGTGGATATGTAGATATACGGATGTTTCATGCTATAAGATGCATGTTCTAAAACATCTGCAGCTTTGATTTGTTGGGTTACATGCTCAAGACAAATCATGGAAGCCCGCTGATCACTGACCCTGTGACCCTGAGAATCCAGAGGTCACGGCCAGGGCACGACGGTGACTGTGCAGCAAGGCTGGAGATAATTACCATGACGAGAAGCACTGTCTGTCTGTCAGCACCCACTCCTCCCTGACCAGAGAACCTCCGCACCAGTGAGTGCTCCTGAAGAGACCGAGAGACATGAGACAGTGATGCATCTCCAACATGACTCTCTCACATTATAAAACATGACAGCGCAGGGCTTTACTTCTGAGGAGCTGTCTGAACACTGACTTCATGGACAACTGCACTTTATTTGGAGGGAATTTTACAGTCAATCTGCCTGCGATTTGCTTTTTAGGAAAACAGACAATGTGTATACTTCTTGCTTGATATAAAGAAAGTGGATACAAAGATTTGGGAAACGCAAACACCCTGTAAAATTACTGTAACTTAACTCTTACTGGAACAGTAAAGACAAAATTGCTCTTTTTGCTGTGGAGTCAAGAAATCTGTAAATATGATTAAAAGATTAATATTAGGCAAAACTACAGAATGTCACATTTTATTATTGGGTTTCAACACATAAATGTTTTACCAGCTAAGAAGATCAGCACGTTTAGAGTTCATCCCACTATCTGATGTGAGCATAAGTATTGGAACAGTTGCCTCACAGGTCTTTCTGACTGATCAGATGTGTCCTGTTGCATTAATTCTTCAGATATTAAAAGCAGGGAATGTGTCGTATCAGTTATAGCCATTGCTTCTGCATTCTGAGTCTTGAATTCGAAGACACACACAAACCAGGATGAAGACAAGGGAGCTGACTCTGAGAGAAAAGCAAGCAATTTGGATGCTAAAAGGAAAGAGGAAGTCAATTAGAGCTATAGCAAAAACAAAGGGCATGGAGAAATCAAGAGTTTGGAGACCACCGGAGACATCAGCAGCCAACAACGACCTGATCGCCTGAGAAAAACAACAGCAGTTGATGACAGACAAATCATAAAAGCTGTGAAAATGAACCCTAAAATACATGTCTGTAAAATCACCAACAACCTCCAGAAAGCTGGGGTGATGCTCTGACAATCTACTCTCCGCAGGAGACTTTGACACAGAATCACAGATGCTACACAGCAAGATGCAAACCTCTGACCAGCACCAAAAATAGAAAGGCAAGAGTTTTGGAACAGAGTTTTATGGACAGATGAGACAAAGATGAACCTTTCTCTAAGTGATGGGAAAGCTAAAGTGTGGAGAAAAAGGGAACTGCAAATGATCCCCAGGATACAACCTCATCTGTAAAGCATGGTGGAGGTGGTGTCATGGCATGGGCATGCATGGCCCTCTCAATTTTAATGATGACTTAATGTATGATGACAGCAGCAGAATGAATTTGGAAGGGTACAAATCCATCTTGGCTACCAATATTCAAGAAAATGCCACCAGACTCATCAGAAAGTGCTTCACGTTGTATCAGGACAATGACACAAAACACCCTGCCAGTTCAGTCAAGGAGTTTATCAGGGCAAAAAAAAATTAATTATATATAATTTATTATATAAATTAATGTATAAATTAATTATATACAATTATATAAGCCCTTTTTGCTTGATATATTTACTTACAAATCTAAAATGTTTAATAAATAAATAATAACTAATAAAAAGTAATAAAATAATAATAAAAAGTCATGGTAACACTTTATTTCGATAGTCCACTTTAGACATTCAAAACAAGCAACAGTTGGAATTGGCTGCATTAAAGGCTGGGAAAAGCATTTCAAAGGATGAGACCAAGAGTCTGGTGATGTCTATGGGTCGCAGACTCACTGCTCTGATTGCACGCAAGGGATCTGCAACAAAATAATAGCTTTTAATCTTTTACTGTACATCTGCTTTAAGTTCATCTGTCCCAATACTTATGCTCACATTAAAATAGTGGGATGAACTCTAAAAGTGCTTTTAATTTGGTAAAACATGTATGTGTTGAAACAGCTAATAATAAAATGTGACATTCTGTAGTTTTGTCTCATATTCATCTTTTAATCATATTTGCAAATGTCTTGACTCCACAGCAAACAAAGGTTGACATGTAGTTACAAAGTTACTTATAGTTAATAGAATGTCTAAAGTGGACTATCGAAATAAAGTGTAACCAAAGTCATTTTAAAAACTGTCCATTAATGACATTTCTGACTAAAACTAAATCTGACTATTTAAAGCAGGAAATTCCAAATAAATATGCTTTATAGTCAATGAAGTCTTACTAAAATTACATACTGGTAATTCTTCACCTTTCAATAAATACACATGGGTAAGTCTTGAGTTACCAATTCTTAGTGCACCACAAATAATGTTTGTTAATGATATTATTTAACAATGTTATCTACATATTTTGCAAATTGCTTACCCTCTCTGTATGCTGACCATCCAGCTGCCTTCTTTAATCCGGACAGGCCCACCACCGACGATTCTCACCTGCTTGTGAACAAAACATGAGGTCTTTGTACCCTCATCTGTAAAGAGAAGCGAAAAGACAAAATGAGAGGTGACATAGAAGTTTATCAGAACACAGAAAAACACACAAATTCACAAATGTGTTTTTGAAATAATCTTTCTAATGTAATCTGAAGCAAAAGAATATCAGCTGGAAATCTGCACAGTTTAACAACACTTGAAAGACATGATTACCTTTTTGTGGTAGACTGTTATGTGAGGGCTCACCTAAAAAGGAAGGAAAAGGAAATAAAGCTTATTTTTGTTCTATGCAATGAATAGGCATGAGAAATGAAAAAAAGATGTGGTCACCAGTGATGGCTGTTTAGAGTATAATTTGAGTGAAAGTGTGTGAGGTCTTTAGCATAGGACTAGTCTTGGTCCAGCATGTGGGACCAGTTAGACCTGCGCAGCACTGAAGCTTAACTTATACATGCAAGTGTGTGTGTGTGTGTGTGTGTGTGTGTGTGTGACAGAGACAGAGGGAGTGCTGACAGTCTGAGCCACCTGGACTTTACACTCTTTAATTAAACTGAAACCTCTGTAGAAAGTGTGCACATGTGTGTGTGAGTGATTGATGTGCCGTATGTAGATTCGTAACACATGGTCTACATGCTCAACACAAGTCTGCGGTGTCAATGATGAGAGTGCAAGTCAACAGAAAAACATATGTGGGTACATAATGGTCAAAAATATGGTTATTGTCTGTAATGTATAAAGAAATCAACAGTCATGCTTTAATATAAGTAAGGATAGATGGGCTCAAATGAAAGTTAGTGACATTACTTGTACATAAGTATAAAACTTCCAACACAAGTGTGTGAGAGCTGTTAAATGCTACGAACAATTGAGTGACCGAGTTCTTAACTGTTTAAAAGGTTGGGGTCAAAGGTTTTTTTTAAATTTTGTTTTTTTTAAAGAAACGAATACATTTATCAGCAAGAACATATTAAAGTGATCAAAAGTGGCAGTAAAGACATTTATAATGTTAAAGAAAAGATTTGTATTTTAAATAAAGAAATGTTTTAAAAATTTCTATTCATCAAAGAATTCTGAAAATATTAAGCAACACATCTGTTTTCTATGGAAGCCTGTTTCTGCCACTGAATAAAACGTTTACATCTCGCAATCTTACTTTTTCTCAGAATTGCGTGATATAAACGTGCTATTGCGAGTTAAGTCAAAATTGAGAGATATAACTGCCAATTCTGAGTTTTTTTTCTCACAACTGCATATCAATTCGCAATTCTATAAACATATCAGTCTTTTTTCTCCTCAGAACTGGACTTTATAACTCGCAATTGCGAGTTTATATCTCAAAATTCTGAGAAAAAAAGTCAGAATTGCAAGTTTATATCTTGCATTTCTGACTTTATTTCTCGCAATTGCGAGTTTATATCCCACAATTCTGACTTTACATCTTGCTATTCTGACTTTATAACTCACAATTGTAAGATGTAAACTCGCAATTGCAAGAAAAAAAAGTCAGAATTGCAAGATGTAAACTCGTAATTGCAAGAAAAAAAGTCAGAATTGTGAGATAATTTTTTTTTTATTTAGTAGCGGAAACAGGCTTTCATAGTTTTCAACATTAATAATGATAAGAAATGTTTCTTGAGCATCAAATCAGCATATTAGAATGATTTCTAAAGATACTGAAGACTTAAGTAATGGCTACAGAAAATTCAGCTTTGCCATCACAGGAATAAATTATATTTTACAATTTTATAAAAAAAAAAAAAACAGTTAATTTGAATCAAATAAAGCAAATAAAATAATTTTCTTTCTCATAAGAGACTTTTTTATTTTTACCACAATCAAACAAGTGAATTCGTTGTCTGACTGATTGAGACATTGGTGGTTTTAATTCACAATGGTTCTAAACTAATTGTTCAGCTGCATTTCAGACACAAACTGGTTCAACTAATTTAATAAAAGTAACCATTTTAAACAAATAACTTACATTACGATAACTTGCAACTTTGCAGCAAAATATATCAATTTGATTTTCAAAATGTAGCCTTTTACACTTTTTATGGTTTCTTTTTTATACTTTTATGTTCTGATCTAACTATGCACCTCTGGTTATTGTATGGTGACATAGTTCATTCCAAATGAATAAAATACAGAATTGTATTCTATTTTAGGCAATATTTTTTTAGCATTTCACTTTTTGGGTTCAGTGGTTTACATTAGCCCCATATTCCTCAGCTTGTGTTAGACTCTTCATGTTTCAAGCAGCATTTTTAGTGAACCCAAAGGTCTCAATCAGGTTGTAATGTTAGCACAGACAACATGCTGCTCACTCACAGGGTTTGAGAGAGCAGTAATCCCAGGGGATGGATGAGCTGTTGGTATAACACCACGGGCCATGTTTGTCCTTGTCTGGGTTTCTGCAGAAGTTCCCCGCCTGTTCACCCATCAGCAAGTCCACATCTCTTTCATTACTGAGAACAAAAACAAATCTCATCATTACAACAGAAGATGTGCAGAGTGAAAATTAACATATTAATATAAACATTCAAAACAGGTGCATCATTCAGGCAAATTCAGGGTCGTTTAACACGAATCAAACAGTCAATCCAGTGTTTGTAACAAAACAATACATCTAAATCCATTTAGGAGAAGAGTCCAAAAAACATCTTCTTCTCAAAAGTTCATCTTAAGCCCCAGCTGTGTGGAGCTCCTCTCAGGAGGCAAGGTGAAGTATTTAGCTTGTGCATTACTCATGACATGTTTCCCCAAGCTTTTCCACATTATCACTCAGATTCAGGAAGATCCACAGATGCTACAATTCTCCAAACGTTCACCAGAGACCAAAAGTGCTACAATGAAGAGCACATGCATGACACCAATGATTGTCTTGCCGTGCTACTCTAGGGTTCATACAATGTAAACAATCTACGCCTAATGCCCGTCCAACAGTGACCTTTGCAACCCGGCCGTGGCAGCTCACAGGCTGCGGGCCAAATAAAGCAGCTGATTGGCTTTGATGTGTTCATGGAGAAGGGTTAGGGCGAGGAAAGGGGTCAGATGGTGGCTCTAAAGAATCCCGTTCCAGCTGGGTTGGCCTGCCTGCAATTTTTAGGGAATTGAGTCACTCCAACTGCTCCATGTTTACCATCAATTAGAGCTCTTCAGAATGGGGGTCCTGCACTAAAACGTGTTTTTCTTTCTCAGAAAACCGTGAGGGTCTTATTTTCTCAACGAAGACAAACGCAACCTGACATTCCCTGAGCTTTGCATCAATGAGCTGGCGGGGTTCTGGAAAGGTCGACCTTTGACCTGGAACTTGTTCATAAAACAGGGAAGTTATTTAACGCCACACATCTCAGGGTGAGTGTGGATGGCAGAAACAACACAGACCTTTTGCGGAAACGATTGCTCGACTCCTCTGAGACTTACACACGCACGCTCACTGATAATGTGCCAATGCACATTAAACACAGGCAAAACCATAACTGCATTAGAGGAAATAGACCACACCTGGCAGGAACAAATATAAAACCTTGCTATTTAACACTCCAGTATGGCTGTAAGTAACTGTGAATGCATATTTGATAGCTCCATCTGCTTACATATATTTGAAAAAACATGAGATATTTCACAATGCATCTGTCCCATTTATTCACTCTCATCAATTTAACGACAACTTGCTGTGATTAACCCTTGAACCTAATGACTAAATGGAGTTTGTTCACCTTGCAAAGCGGCACAAAGGCATCATGGGATTGTCCTTGAGATCCTGCATAGCAAGATGTGGACCTAGTTTGGTTTCCATGGAAACTGAGTGAATGTCCATGACTGAATCTATGCGCTGTACCGATATAAATGATGGTTCTGCTTAATACTAGACTATGGAAAATTTCTTGTCTCTGAATCTGTGCATGCTATTTATTCAGTTTTAAGCTCAAGTGATTTAAAAAATCTAATATTTACTCTGAAATTAATACACACAGACATTTATTTTGCAGTGTAGACATGGATGGACAGCTCTTACCTTTCACTGTGGTCTTTCCATGGAGCACAAGGGATGCCAGAGCGTGTTTTTGCCCGTTTTCCATTGTATGTGTCACCAATGCCCGTATAACACTCTGAAACAACATAGCCAGACAAAAAACATTATATTTTCAAACTAAAGCAGATATTATAAAGGGGTTGTGCAATAATAGTAAACAACAAAATTTTTTGTGAGTGTGCTTGCCGATGCAAAACTCACTATGATATTTTGTTACTTTTTTACTTACGTAGATATGGGTCTGGTCCCTCATTAAAATTAAATTTTACCATTTTTCAGGCAAAAACTCTACATAAAATTGCTTAGAAATTAATATCACACTTTTCCTCAACCAGCTGCCTGTGTTTAGTATTTTTTATATACTATTATAGTATTTATTAATATTTTGAATATTAAATCTTCAGTTTCCTTTAGAATTTTAGTTTTAGTAATTTTTTAATGCTATTCTGTCATTTTTATTATTATTTTTTTATTTCAATTTAGCTTTAAATGATTTTTTGATGAATTTACATTTTAGTTTTTGTAATTTTAGTACTTTAACTTATTTATTTCAGTTAGCTGCCAAGGCATCATGTCTAATTTTAATTTCATTTTAATAAAATTCTTTATTATTTTATTTTATTTTATTTTACACCAAAGTATATTCAATCAGTTGTTTTTATGCCACGGCAGAAGGCTATTTTCATGGCAAAAGAGGAAAAAAGGTAAATACACAAAATATGTCATAAACAAATAGGATAAATCAATTACATACAGAAAAATAAAACCTACAGTTTATAAGGCTTTTTAGGTGCGCTTTTGATAAAAATTATTGTGCCAAAGTTCAAGTTTTCCGAACTCACTAAGCAATAATATGCTTGGCAACTTCTAAATATATGCACAATATGCACAAAGTGAAAGATGAATGCAATGCAGCATGATTAAATATAGATGTTTTAATGATCCCAGTGAGAACTTTGCTTTTAATCAATGCTGTTAACCTAAATGCCTCAACATTATTATCAAACTCTGCAAGTCGAAGTGCTTAAAGAAACACAGCAGGTTTGTGGAAACACACTGCTTATGGAAACACAGCAGGGCTCCCAGTGCACCACAATAGTCGAACGATCATCCCAACGGCCTCAATTGGAACACCGGCTAAATCGATCTTAACATCAGCGCTTGTGCGAGTCCTTCTCTGAAGTGTCTCCTGGGCCCTGCCAGTCACACGAAGCTGTCAGCAGTGATTAATGCTTGACTCATGCTGTCTCATTCCCACACTGCGGCTCCTGCTCCCTGCACATGTTTCAAACAGCCCCCATTAGTGGCCGTGGAGATCGGACTACAGGGACCACCGTATACCGATGCCAAGACAGCCAAGAAAGAGCAAATGAAAGACAGTGAAAAGAAGGGAGAAAGAGCTACGACATTCTTGAGCATCATGAAAAGCAATTATTTAGATATTATGTCTTGCTGGGGAGGATTAATAAGAACAAAGTCAAGGAAGTTTTTTGAGGGTCGTTTTGATATGCAAAGAAGGAACTACTTCAAAAGTTATAGTCTTCTTTTTTTACCCAGCCAGAGAAACACAGTTGGAAGAACGCCAGCCATAACATCATGGAAAACAAGCTCAAGTCAGTAGATTATAAACATGTTTCTGAAAAGCAAATAAGTGTAATAAGTTTTATGATCGCTGTCTGTAAACTCGCCTGGCGTACTGGAATTTTCGCTCGCAGTACAGAAATACACATCTAGATGGAGAGGAGGCAAAGCCAGGGTCAGACATGTGGCAGAACTTCATGAGGGTTGAATGTCTCCGGACAAGGGCATGGCTTGAAATGCTCTACCAATAAGCTACAGCTGCCACAGTGCTTTGACCAGATGATTAATATTTGAAACAATTAATTTCAGTGTGCACTGAAATGTTCAAATGCATTCAAAAGTATCAATATGCCTTGGATTTCAATAAAACAGTACAGTCTCAGTCTAAATTTCTCCCTGGATTTTCTAAAAATCAAGGATGCTGATATTTTACATAGAATTATCTGTATATTAATGTCCCTGAGCTCAGATTAGTCTGTAAGAGTTCATGGCCTGAAAAAAAAGTACAACAATGTGATCTTGTGCATGACAAATATGGTTGAGAACACGTGACACTCTTGAACATAGGCTACCAATAAGGCAATGCCTTTCCATGGTAGCTTCACTGAATTCAAAACACAGTAGCCTTGTGTAAGATAGTGTATTTCCCAATGCCTGACTGTGTGCAACAAACAGACACTGATGACATGAAAAAAGTGGTGTATATATATATATTGTTTTACCGTTATTTAAGAACATATGCTGTAATAAATTTGAGTTCTTATGAAGAGCAATGAGGTCTAAATGGTTAAAAAAAATTTCAAGGTCTGTGTTCATGCATATCTGTGTGAATGAGAATGGAAAATGTAATGCTGGTAACATGCAACAGGAATGCCAAACTTTTGAATGAATAATGTGAATGACTCTTACCTTTAGGGTCAGATAGTGTAATGCCACAGCGAGGGATGTTGGTGCAGAATGCCACAGGTACATTGGGGTCAGTCGTGAAGCACCATGGGAGATGTCGACCATCAGGATTCCTACAGTAGTTCTCCCGGAGATCCCTGCAGCGCAGATGCGTACATTTAATCATATATACACATCACACATCTAGTGTTACAGAGCATATGCTGAACAGACTGAGACTGATATTAAAAACTACAGGTTTTGAAGAATTATCTGCAGTTTTTTTTTAAATATAAACTTGTATGATGACAGATAACAGTCTGGGAGAAGAAACATTTAGGTTAGATTTTCCTAGTGATGACAGAATGGAACCAGCATACCTGGTCAACATATGTATTTTTGCGCAATATATCAGAACTGTTTACATATACAGTATAAAAACAATTTCTGATTTTTGTTGTATTTCATTTGACACTGGATATTTATCAGTCGATACTGGAAATTTTATTTTGCATGTTCATCTTAAAATTTAATTTAATTTTTATTTTATTTCATTTGTTAGCTGTGTTTGTCCAAGCAAAACTTTCATTTTGTTCCTTAGATTTGAGTCGGGTTCCTCATTTAAAGGTATGTTCATGGAATTGTTTCACCCATTTTTATCATTTTTCATCTGTTGTGATGCCTAAATGTACTAAATGTTTTAGTCTTTCAATAAAAAGACCATCAAAGTTTGGCTGTGCATGTGCATAAAGCAAGGAAGTTCAGTCGACATCAATAAACATCAACACTTAAAGGCACAATATGTAAGATTTTTTTATTAAAATATCCAAAAACCACTAAAACAGTGTTATATATTTTGCTGACTTGAATAAGCAATTTTAACTAGTGACACAAACCGTGTCCATGGTGTCATTGTGTCGCCTGCCAATGACGTCATAACCCCTCGATTTCCGGTTTTGTTTTGTAGAAAACATGGAAACACCAAAGACGCTTTTGCAATATAAGAGTGTCGATGGGGAACTGTGCGTCAGAACTGGTTACTTACATATATAAAAATAATTTCTGTAATTTTTGTATTTAGGTTGATAATGAATATTTATCAGTCAGTATTGAATATTTTATTTTGCATGTTCATTTTAGTTTATTTTTTGACTGTGCTTGCCCATGCAAAACTTCCTATGATATTATGTAAATCAGTAAAAAGGCTTTACATGTGCATGACGCAAGAAAGTCCAGTCAATATTTGAACTATACATCAATGCTTAATGCATATGTTTTAGGAGCATTTTCTTACTTGCAACGGTAATTCTGTGGAGTATAAGAGTGTCGATGGGGAAACTGGGCATCCCATCTCTGACAGGTCACTCCCTCGGGGGTGATGCCAACCGTTCCACGATAACCCTCTCCACGTCCACGGAAACAAGTTGTTGTGTTGTCAATGCCACCGCCGTTGTCTGAATCTGAGTAAACAGCGAAAAACATAAACAGAAAGACAAAGAGAGTGAGAGAATGAAGCATAATATCACTCCTTAGGCATGATGAGTGCTGAATCATAGATTCACTGTTAACTGTAAGACTGCGCTGCCTGAGGGAGGAATAACAACAGCTTTATCCTGCTTAACAGAGAGAGATGCTTCCTGAATGAGTCAAAGCAGTCACTAAGTCTGTGACAAATGCTAAAACAGTAGCCTACAGAGCTTTTTTTAGGGCAAAACGTAAGCGTTTTATGAGTGCACAACAGATATATATTGTTTTTGCCCATGAATCTCATTGCAATAAATTACGCTCATTGGAGACAGTTATTATGTTTACCTCCAATAAACTGCTAGTGCTTCAGTCTGCTAATGAGGCTAGCAGTATGGGGATATAGGCCAAGTCATGCTAATAAAACCCAAAATCAAACTCTCAAATGCATCCAATACACTGAGAATTTGAAGAGATCTACAGTGGATCCCAGCGTATGCAATGTTATCCCAGCTAACAAAAATGTTAACGTTTTAAATTAACGTTGTTTCTGAATGTTCTCAGAATGTCAAATTTTTTTAATGTTTTAAAACCGTTTTTTTTTTCATGTTTATGCGAAGGTCTGCAAAAACAATAAGGAAACGGGGAACATGACTTTTTGAATGTTGAACATTTCTGAACATTTTGAAAACGTTTTGAAACTAGTAAAGTAGTAACAATAGAGTAACATTTAAAAAATGCTAGACGAACATCCAAATAAAACATTTCAGGAAAAAAAGAACGTTCCATGAATGATGTATAAATGATGTATAATAATTTGTGCTAACTTTTTAACGTTATTAAAGACCAGATAAGATTTGAACAACCATTCTATTAACATTACTGGAACAATGTCTATTCATACCTTTGAGAGAACATTCTCTGTTAGTTGGGATTATGTTCGTACAATGTTAGGTTAGCAATTTTTGCGGTCAAGCAAGTGGAAGCATTGAGGCACTTTTTCTTACTGTGTTTACTGCAGAGCAGTATTGTATCTTTTAAGAGCATGTTTAGCTTTATAGAGTATCAAATAGTCTTGTTAAGTATGATGTTCCTTCTGCAAGTGGACGAAAGCCACTTCTTGTTAAAGCAGATGCACCTATGATGGTTTCCACAGGTGAAAAACGAGTGACATACATAGCTAAACTCCGTTTAGCTGCTTATTGAGATGCTGAGGTGTTTGAAAAGAAGCGACGTTCTGCCAAACAGGAAAGAGCGTGGTGAAAAGTTCCTCCCAAGACAGTGATCTTTGAGAATCCATCACAGGAGTTTGCTCAAGGTTACGACATGGACTTGCCAAATAGCTCTGAAATACAAATGCAACCCCCATGGCTAGGTCTAGAATGGTGAAGAGCGCGATCGTCGGACGCCTGAGTTTATGCTTCGCTTCCCACTTCAACCAACATGCCGTCACCTCGCTAATGAAAATAAACGGAGGCAGCGCGAGGAGGAGGAGGGGTGAGGGTGTCATTATAATAATAGGTTTTTGGGCGCTTGTGTGTTCGAGCGAACTGGGGGTTTGAAACCCACATGCGTGTTTTGTCTTTAGCGTGGAAGGTTTACATAGCACTTGAAACTCAAGCACATTTCTCTCATGCAGATAAGGCAATGCTCTACTGCACTGATGAGGGAAAATAAACAAGGAGGCACAGTACTGAAAAGACGGGGCAAGAGCTGAGGAAAGAGAAAGAGAGGAGAGAGAGTTTTATAGGTGGACCCTCCTCTCTCTCTTCTCCCAGTTACAAACAACATTCCTGTGAGGGTCCCAAACGAAAGGGGAGCCAGGGCTACAGGAAGAGGAAGTTGTAAATTTGGCAAACTCTGCCTCTTTTCATTCTCTTTCTCTCTGGCTTCTTTTTGTTCTTCTCTCTGTCTCTTCATCTTACACATAAGATGCAGACGCGCACACTCACCGCACTGTTTGATGTTACAGTACTCCCATGGAGTGCTCGGATCGGTGGTGAAACACCAGGGTCTCTGGCGCCCGTCTGGGTTCCTGCAGTAGTTGTCCTTTAGACCTTTATCGGGGTATCTGTCATAGGAAGGGCAAAACGAACACACTTAACACGCCACATATCAACTATCCTGGTTCTACGGAAACTTTGATTTATAGGCGGGATAAAATTCGAATAACCTCCAGAAAATACACAACATGCTCTCTGCTACTGGTACAACAGGACCTCTTAGGTAAAGCGCACAAGACAGAAGCTCATCACTCTGCATATGTAAAGACTCATAGTTATACAGGTCACTTTTTTTTTTGGTAACACTTTATTTCGATAGTCCACTTTAGACATTCTATTAACAGTAGGTAACTTTGCAACTACATGTCAACTATCAGTTAGTAGAGTATTAGTAGATTGTCTGCTTAATATCTTCTAACACTTTCTTTGTCAACTTATTCTACTAACCCTAAACCTACCCTAACAGTCTACTCTGAGAGTTAGTAGACATGTAGTTGCAAATTAATGAGAATTAGTTGACATGTAGTTGACATGTAGTTACAAAGTTACTTATAGTTAATAGAATGTCTAAAGTGGACTATCGAAATAAAGTGTAACCTTTTTTTTTTCAATTTTTAGTTTTCCAATATTACTAAATTTGGAATAGTAGTATATATCATCAGTACACTGATGATGTGTCAAGAAGCATCACATGGTGATGTATGTTAAAAGCAAACAGAAAACAATTATTTTTAATTGTAAAAATATTTTACAATATTAATTAAATATTTAAACAGTAGTGTATATTGGCTGATGCCCAGTATGTAATTCTGCATGCTCATTTCCTATATTTTTTCCTATTAAATACATTTTTAGATAAATTAAAGTCAATCTTAAATAACTATTCGATTGATTGAATTGGTTTTAATGTTGTATTTACACTAACTTTGTCTATAATCTGAGACTTTTTGTGGCACACTCGTCATGTAAAGGGTGAAGAGCTTCTGTCTTGTAATATTCAAAGGGTTTTTATGGTTGCTTGAAGACATCATAGACAATTTGCCTCTTTGGTAGGTTCACACAAAGCAGTCATTTGATTTAGTGATTTATATCAAACGGGGGCATGACACAGTTCCCATGAGGTCAAGTGGGAAAAAACTATATTGATTTTTCGAATATTTTTAAAAGTTGCTCACAAATGCCATTCCGGATTAGGCTAAATTCAAAAGCATTTACCATGTATGCAATCTGACATATTAAAAAAAAATAGACTTTGTGTGTTTAGAGACTCTTAAGGGAGAGTATTCAAAACAAACGGACATTTATTTCAAGATTAACGATATTGTTGTTTCCCAGAACTAAAGATGTAACTGGGCCACTGGAAAGGTTATGCCAAACGAAAATGCCATTGAATGGAAAGTGCATGTACATCAGGTAGCGATGTGGTCAACTCTTTCAGTTGCTATTCTCCACAGAGTAGGTGTGTAATTAAGTAAAGGTGTGCAAGGAACTTTAAAACATATTTTTGTCCAACATGAACAAAACAGATGATGTTTTCCAAAACAAAGTGTAATTTTTCAGGACTGCTGTTGGCCATCACTTTAAGATGCCTGCACACATTGTGATTTCAGACACATTAAAGCAAGAGTTGTTTTCCACAATTAATGTTAAATGACATGAGGCCAATGATCCACTCATGACCCCAGCTTTCTTTAGCAAAGCATAATCAAAGCACTGACCAGTTTTTCAAATGATATCTGATACTTTCTTTGAAACTTAATCATCTTAACATCTGAAGAAAATGTGAGTGATGTTTGCCATGCAAAACTCACGCAAGTGTTTTGGGTGGATTTCAGGGTTTCCAGCATTGCTATGGGCTTGCTAACATGTTCTGATTGGTTGTTAGTTTGTCGCTATGTAGTTGCTAGGGAGTTCTAGAAGGTTTCTGGGTCTCAACTCAAATCAGGCCACCCCCAAAGTTCCTATAATATTTTAGATTAGTCTCAGGTTCCTCTTTAAAGGGATAGTTCACCAAAAATGAAAATGATTTTGTTTACTCAACCTCATGTTGTTCCAAACCTTTATGAATTTCTTTCATCTGCTGAACACACAAAAAATATATTTTGAAGAATGTGGGCAAACAAACAGTTGTTGGTCTCCATTGACTTCCAAAGTACGGGAAAAAAAATGCTATGACAGTTAATGGGGACCAGAAAGTGTTTGGTGACCAACATTCTTCAAAATATCTTCTTTTGTGTTCCACAGAAGATAGAAACTCATACAGGTTTGGAACAACTTGAGGGCGAGTAAATGATGACATGATTTTCATTTTTAGGTAAACTATCCTTTTAATGTAAGTCTATGGATTTTGTGTCTTCCAGGTGCAAAACCATAACTTTCATCACTTAGAAAAATAACTGCACACCTTTTTGCAACAAGCCGCATGATTTTAGATATCATCAGTAGTACCCAACAGGCGAACGAAAGAGATTTGCATTTTTCTAAGTATGCCATATTGGCCAAGCCTCTCAAATTGATTGAAAATCCTAACTTGAAGTCAGTCTGACTGAAGTTGTCCCTTACTGTTTGCATTTTCTGGTAGGTCTCATACCTTTTAAGGTGGAAAAGGTGTTTATGTGGTTCATCAAGGTCCCAGCGCTGGCATTCCCGGCCGCTCTCCGTGTGGTCCAATGGTCCACGGTAACTTTCTCCATTACACGTCATACATTCCACTATGGATAAGGAACATGGCTGGTAAGAATTTTAACCAGGACAAGGTCCAAAAGAGTCCAGCTGAGCGACATTAGCATGCTTGTAGAGGATGACTCAAGTTCAACAGAGTTCAACCTTGGCTGTCATGTTAAACGGTTAGACGACTGCAACTGTGGCCGAATCCTGGAAGTAAATTAGTGCACATGTTTGTTACGCATAGACTAATCACTAACGATTAATGACTGCAGGGATTGTAATCGCATTTATCAAGAAGACAAGCAATTACGGAGCCACATGTGACCCTCAGATTGTCTAAAAATAAATCATCTGATGCTTCAATTTACTAGGCAGACGTACCACCCATTAGGCCTTGCTTTTAACCCCAAATGTACGTTGCAGCTTCTAAAAGATTTTGTACGATCAAAGGTTAAAGCAACATGCAATTATTACAGTACTTAGTAAAGAGCTTAGTCACTGTAGGATCAAACCAAATATCACAGCAGATGGGGGTCACCTCAGCTAGAGTCATCTCTCTAAATCGTGTAATTAGTTGTACAGTACACACAGTAGTACACAGATTGCTGTAGTAGAAACAGATGTTAATGTCAGCCACTCTCATGAAAGCATGATTTTCCTTCCTTGTGTTTGTGTGCGTTTTTGATTATGGGAAACTAATTTATTAACAAACCCTCCCAGCCATATTTCATCATGCAACTCTTCGAATAGACAAGAGGATCTATTTGTTGGCCTGATCGCTATCTCTGCAGAAAACCCCTTTTTATGCATGCGACTCAATGTGATCTCCTATTAACGAAAATCTCCAGTCACCCCAACAATCAAGCGCTTTCATTCTCCATCAATAGATAAAGTCTTGAATCTAATAAATGAACAATTCACATAAAAAATGTGTTTTTAAAGGACTGAAAATCAATGCAAACCAAGTGCTCATATTAAACAGCTTAAAAAAGAGATATCACAAGTGAGATCGTTTTAACATCAAAATTGTTTCTCCAAAACAGTCAACTGAGAACAAATGGAGACTTTTGAAATCTCCCAGTGAAAAAGCATGCTCAGTTTTGCCAAGAAACTGTTTACCATTAAATGTCAGAGATTTAAATTTGAAATTTTCAATGATTTTCAAATTTCAGTAATTCATATCTTAAAGACCAAATGATCTTAATAATACTGACATTCATTTCATAGCTCTATATTCTTACATTATGTCAACAGTCAGTTGTACTAATTTTAGTACAAATATCTAAAAAAACAATTAAAAGCTATAAAAGAGCATACTGTGAACAATAAAATACAAAAGTTTGCTGGTATTGGACTCACCTTCCGAGCATTGTGGGATGCTGCAGTCCTGGTGCCTTATTTTGGGGTCTGTGGTAAAGCACCAAGGACCTGTTGTGGTGTTGTCTGGATTACGACATAAATTCTCCCGTAGATCTCTGTGCTTGTGCCTCAGGGGTAAGAAACTAATGGAGTGAGAAGAAAACATGAAACAGAAGTGATGTTTGTGAATCATACACAAGCAAAATTGCTCCAAATTTCTTGAACAACATACTGTTACTCTTTGACACATTACTTGACATTTTTAGCTGCAGAGTGAGGTTTAATTCTCTTTTATTGATGTTAGCAATCCTTTGCAATTATTAGCTTTTTTGTCTTTTTATTACAATAACATCTGATACTACAACTGAACTAAGAATCACAAATTTAACTGGATGTCATATAACACAGTTGTCACTTCCAGCCAAGTACAACAGGAGATCTCAATAACTTATATATATTAATAAGAGTGGCATGACTAACAATATCTTTAACATCAGATTCAGAACACAGCTGCTACTCTGCATTTCATTGTGATGCAAGAGCTTAGCATGCATGTGGCTCTGGGGAAATTGTTGCATCTTCATTTTTTTCTTATTACTTATGGAAAAAGTACAAAGGTTGAATCTTAAAACAACAAATGAATGTAGTTAAATAATGATTTTGGCAAGTGAATGGGGTAGTGTAAAGCCTTTGGTCAGACAAGGTCAAAAACTGCACAGTGCTTGAGTTAGAGTACGCTCATTATGAGCATTGTTGTTTTATTAGCATTTTACTTTGGCTATTTGAATGTTATGAAAGCAGCATCACACAAAAACAAATGTTTTTGGCTACCAATGCCATTACAGAACTACACATTTATCTTTCATCTAATAATCCATTTATTCTGAAACCAAAATCTTCTCAAATTAATGGGTTATCGCAATAAAGTTAGGAGTTAGTATATGTGACATGGTGACCACCATGATGGGATGACCCATCCCATATAGACCAATACAGGCCACAATTATGACTGGAATATTTATCTACATCATTTAAAACCTATTTTTTTATGTACTATTTGTTTATGGTAAAACTCTGAGATGCCGCTAATGCAAAGAGTTTCAAAAAGTCTTTTACCCTTGCCATGCAAATATTTGTAAACCATTAATAAATCATTGCATTAAGCCAAAAGGTAATTATCGTTTGTGTAATTGCCTCTGGCATTCACAACACAAATCAACCAAGTTCATGATGATTGATGAATACAGATAAAAATGCAATCTGTGACAAATTAGCTGACCTACAGGCCTGTGTGGTATTTCAGAACGTTCAGATCCATTGTTTTTTTTGAGCCGATAAAGCATGCCTGTGATGTTTCAGAGGCAAGCATATCAAAAGCTGGCTTTACAACTGAACTGATGTCTATTAGAGAGATAAAAATAGTTGAAGAAAAAAGAGGAGAGAGAGAGAGGGAAATATCTAGATCGGGAAAGTTGGTGGTAAGGGTTCAAGGTCTCTGAAAGGTAATTACATTTTCAGGATTTAAGAAAAGTGCATAAAACTTCTGTAAAGGCCAACAAATAGGGCAGATTTATCGTATCGACTTGCAGTACAGGAAGTAAATCGAAGCACCATGTGGTGTCCCTAACGAATTCCTGTAGCCGTAATGAACTCAAAGACGTGTTCTGCATTAGGTATCTTATCTTAGCTTTGTGCTGCTTTCTGTCAAACTTCCACTTATGCACAAACCCTCAAATCCTCTAAACATGACATCTGTTCCAGGCTTCATATGGCTTCTTGGTGTTTATTTTTAGATGTAAGTGTATACAAAAATGTATATTTTGGGGTAAACTTGCCCTGAAGTATTTATGCATAGGCATAATTGTAAACAAACGTCTATTTTTGGTCATGCAAAAATGGAAGCAATTGTTTGAAAATGTGCTGGCCGCTCATTGCCGTTCCTGTCATTGACCTAATTGTCTCCATCGGCGCTCCACTTCTGAGAATCGTCGAGTTGCACTGACTGTCACACTTAGACTCAGCGAGAACCCTCTAACGAATCAAAGCCAGTGAGACAACATGCATAAAACTGCACATTCATCATCATTAGAGACTAATGGGGATTTTTACGACTCACAGAGTCTGTTTTGCCATTAGCTATCTAATAGCGTAATATGTGCATAAATAAATAAACTGAAACATACCAAGGAGATGTTAACAGCTATCTACACTCCACAAGACTTTTGATAGCCACAAAAATGCACATAGTAGGTAATTGAGTTTAATTGCCCAAAGAGAGAGAGAGAGAGAGAGAGAGAGAGAGAGAGACCAAACCAAGAATGGGAGTTAAAGAGGATGAGTAAGCACTTACTTGTGTTCATGCGGTGTTTTGGAATTCCAGAGTTGGCACTGGGCTCCACTCTTGGTCACCGATCTCTTTCCTTTGTAGTTGAGTCCATTGCCAATGATGCATTCTCTCATGAAGTCTAAAGGACAACACACATTCAGACACACCTTAGGTTACATAATATTTATGTGCAAAAGTCAGATTCTGAAACTATAAAACCCACTAAATAGATTTTTTTGTGATATATATATATATATATATATATATATATAACAAACCTATCATGCACTCATACACCTTTTGTAGTTTCTGAAGTCAGTGATTTTAAAACTATATTCTGAAATATTTAACCAAAGTGTGGTGTTGGTAACCCAGTGGGCAACTGATGTTGAAAAGACATCATATTGACATCAAAATTGACGCCAAAAGGCAGGTGAAATATGCAAATCAATCTGACATCAAAAACTTGACATGACGTCGATTTGATGTAAATTGAACATCAAAAATACTGGCCTACATATACAGTACATTAAACAAATTTCAGTGTGGAATTAACTACTTATTTTCACCCAATTACCACTGGAAGAAATTGCCATCCAAACTAAATTTAAAATGATGTTACAGCATCTTGATCAAGCCTTGGCTAATATTTGACATCAAATTGAAATCAAGGTGTCCGCTGGGAAGATTATTTAATGTTTTTCAAAGAAGTATCTTATGTTCACCAAGGTTTAATTTATTTAACCTAAAATACAGTAAAAACAGTAATAATATTGTGAAATATTATCACAATTAAAAAGAACTGTTTTCTGTTTTAACATATTTATTTATTATTTATTTATACATCTGTGATGGCAAAGCTAATTTTTTAAAATTTTACTCTAGTATTCAGTGTTAAATAATCCTTCAAAAACCATTCTAATGCTGTATGCTGAATTGGTGCATTTGAAATATTTTAAATGCCTTTACTGTCACTTTTGATCAACTTGATGTGCACTGGCTGAATAAAATTTTTTTTTTTTTACTGAACACAAAGTTTTCAACCAAGGTCGCTAAAAGTCTCTAAATGTCACTGTTGCACTTTGTTGTCAGCAGTAATACATACAGACAAGCAAAGTCAACAGAAATCCCTGCCTGATCTTTGTGTTTCTGGGTCTGTATAAACATTTGATAAATGTCAAGTCTTAAGAACATCAATAGTTTTAGACTTCAGAAAATCTGCAGTACTGTTAGAAATAGCAGGGACAAACAGTGGGGTATTTACTTCCAGTGACTTAGAGTGAAAGTCATTTTGCTGTGTCATCCTTATCCTGGTGGTGGATCGATAGAACGAGTGTGTGTTTGCATGAGTGTGTAATCATCACATGGACACTGATCTCACATTTATTCACACTGAAACTTAATTAATCCTTAAGAGTCCAGTACTTGGCTAATGTTTGAGAACAGCTCTTCATATTATGAAACCCATCAGTGGAAGATTATGCCAGCATAAGCTTAACTCTAGATGTCTTTGAGATTTAAAAGGGTTTAAAAACAAATCATGCACCAGTATAGACATTTAGGTGCAATATCAGTTATAAGCATTAAAAAAAATCCTGATATGATGGATGATATCAGAAATCTATACTGTTTCGGAATTTCAACTAAAGCCAAATCTATGATTTTACATTCTGCAACAACAACAACAACACAAAATGTACACATAGGATTAAGATATTACACAGTAATAAGATTGCTAATGGTTTCATACTTTTGAAACCTGGTGTAGAAAAATAGTAGTGCTTGAATTGGAAAAAAATGTGTATGCTTCTAATATTGGCTTAATTAGATAATTGTATAAGACACTGATATTGGTAGATGTTGATATGGACAACGATGTCTCGTGCATCCCGATTAGATATGGTCTCTGGCCTAAAGAAAGTAAAACCCTGTGGAAATAAAGCAGGTTTTTTACCTTTCTTCTCATATAGATCAAAGTTGAAGTTATTCTCCATACGGACACCGACGGTGAGGCTGTCATAGGAGAGTAAATGACACTTTGCAGTTTTCTGATCAAAGTTGAATGCTCTGCAAATATATATAGCACATGTTAATCATATTAAATAATGTTAAGCATACAAAAACAAGAGGATGGTGACAAAAGAGATTTAATGTCATCACTTAATGTCTTCAGTAGATACTCTTATCATGTAAAGCAAAGCATAAAATAGCTATTGTTGTCAGATTTTTATATTTTGAAGTCAGGTGATGCCTCAAAAAATAAAGCATTGCAAGAGCTAAAGGTCAAATGTCATGCAACCTCATGCAATTTCTATCTACTAAGAGCTGCATTTTCTTTCTATGCAGAAGTAACCAGAGGTCATCGACCTGACACATCAAAATAGGAAATACTTGGACTGCTGATTTTCGATTTCCACTGGTGAAACAGATAACAGCTGCTTCCTCTCACACTGTGCTGTACACAATTAGCTAATCCAATTCTATTTCAAATCAGCCAGTTTCCAAGAGCAAACTGGGAGTGTGCTCCTTTTATTTAGACACACTTCAGCTGTTTATGATTACGTGTAAGGTGGAGTGTCTTTGTGCTTTAACCTTTGTAGACCTCTGTACCTGCAGGTGAACTGGAGCTTCCTGTTGCGGCTACAGCGACGTGCACACTTTCCCATACTCATCTTGCGGCCTTTGGACATGTAGGACACATCAGGTGGCGTGACCAAGTGCACGGCATCAGTCTTCTGGTAGTCTTGCAGGGCATGCCTCTTTGTTTCTGCCACACAGAACACACGTGTTAGAACAGAGAGAAGCGCCCAAACGTGTTTCATGACAGATGGCACGTGATTTTCTTTCTCTTAATCAGTAAAGGCTGGTTATAAGCCTCATGAGAGAGGCTATAAAACAGAATATTAAATATGGAGCTTAACTAAGATGATGAAATTGTATTTCAACAACCCGTTTAGATCACAATAAGGATGTGCAAAACTACACATTTTCATAATCGACTAGACAGTTGGATGTCTACACATAACTAGTCTGTGTTAAATTAATATATTATCATTTTATCATTTAATCACCCTCACGTCGTTTTAAAGCAGCATGCATTTCTTTCTTCTGCTGAACACAAGATATTTTGAAAAACATTTCGTGACTTTCCTTGTGTAGACAAAAAAAGAATAAACACATATTTTCCAAATATCCTCTTTTGAGTTCCATAGAAGAAAGAACGTCATCGATATTTGGAAAGACGTGAGGGTGAGTAAATGATGGTGCAGTCTTCATTTTTGGGCAATCTATCCCTTTAAGGAAACCCTCTGTCCTGGTTAGACTAAACTTTTAGTCAGTTTTGCCAGGCTGACTGTTAACATGCTAAAATTCCCCCTTCAAATGAAACACAGCATGAAGACCCTAGTTGCGCAACAACTTACTACTAGTAAGGTCACAAATCGACTAGTCAGTTATGGGGTGGGTAGAATACCTATTGGATCATAACCTTATTGAGTTGTAACAGTAAGGAGAAAAAATCATTTGCTATTAAAGGCAGTGGAGCAATAAATTAGCTTTATGTGTATAGCAGGATGCAAAGGCATCAATCACGGTCTGCTTTGGTGAGGTGGTGGAGAGAATTCTGAAGGCCGAAGAAATCTGGGGCTGATCCTTGTGTGCAGCACCAAACCATCTCAAATCAACACCAGAGCCCATCCATGCCAGCTGCAGTCATAAGAATTGAGTTATCTGTCAAGCACATGGTTAGAAAGCACCAATTTCACAGCCACAAACCACATTGTGAGATCAGGCATGTTTTGTGTGTGTGAAACAAGCCCTAAATTCTGATAGTAGACCAACCAAGGAACATTACACCCCGTCTAAGCTCTAAAACTGACCCAAAGCCAACAGTCATGCTCTTTGAAAAGACTCCAGCTCTTGACTAACTCTGAATATTATTAGAACGTAAGTCTGAACAGAACAACAAGCACCGAGGTTAGATAGGTTAGAAAGGTTTTCTAAACATCTCCTTGGCTCAATATGTCTGAACAAAGGTTTTTACGCCCCATTATACAGAATGTATTACTATAAAATCAATAAAAACTAAGCTGTTCTAAACTTTGCGCAACCAACGAGCTACATGATCCTTCAATGTCACAGAAGTACTGCAGATTAGAAACGAAATGACTAAACACAGAATAGTTAATAGGCTCTGTGCAATAAAGCGGTTTTGATTTCAAAAGAAGGGTTTCATAGTGCCACACTCCAACACTTCATCTCTCCCTTCGGCTCCATGCACACTGTCGGTGACGCATTTATCCAGATGTTTTGCAAAGAAACAGCCCACTCACCATGAATGTCAACATCTGTGAAGTTTTCCGTAGTGAAACTTCATACAATGTTTGGGAACTGTGACGCTTTTGATACATGTGTAATTTGAGTCAAGAACTACAATTTGATGGCATGTCCAATGTATTTCAATAGCTGAAAAATTAAACAATTGAAATTTATGAGATTAATAAAGATGAAAAAATAATGTATAGTTAGCACTGGTCTTCAAATTTGATTGGCTGAGGGATGTTCCAATATTGCTGATATATAGTCCAACAACATGTTTACTGTTTGTTTCACTTTGCTTGTCTGTGTTTGCAGAGATGTGACTTGGCTTCTTTAGGAACTACTGTACTTTTATTGGTGGGAAAAAAACTATACAAAAGAAGAAACATAAAGAAACTTTAAAGTCTGTGTGAACTTGAAGTTGCAACTGATTTATTTTATTTAAATTTTTTTTATATTGTGTTGTACTTCACAGTAAAATAAGAATATTGAATAATAAAAAAGAAGGCGGGGCCTGATTTTAGCACACCTCCTCACTATATATAGCTCGCAACAGACTAAAGATTGGAGGAGGGAAGTTGTTAAGGATGTTCAGTCCAAGCCGTCAAACTGACATCATGAGAGAAGGAATGCCATGTCAAGCAAATTTCAGATTTTGACTAAAGATTACAAAGAATTTTTATTTTTTATTTTTGTAGATTTAATTGCACATATAATTGTTCACCCCAAGGCTAGTAATGTGTGCTAACAATGTAAACAGAGTTTATTTGGATTTCATGCAGACTTTAAATATCCTATACATATACTCAATGATAATCCAGTAAAAATTGACATATTTACATAATGTTATCCACAGTTATTAGATATATGCATATTGTAAATAATCTTTATCTTATAAGTAAACAGTGATTTTGAGGAAATAAACACATTTTAATTATATATTATTAATGTTTTATCAAATAATAGCTTGTAAAACAAAGTTTACATTAGAAGTCTATTATGCTGTTATTTATTTGTCCATTGCAGGGTGGACATTTGTGTCAGCAGACTCAGCATTAATTTGTTTAAAATGTTTTATTACTTAGTAGATATAAGTCAGTGAACATAATCTGTATGATGACTTTGAAAAACTTGAATGTGTTACTTTCATGAAACAAAGATACTTTGTTAATTTTTCAAATCCCAAAAGGCACCAACAGGAATGACCCATGAACAGAATCATGTAAACTCGAGCAGAGACAGTGTTGGGCATCTCCAGAACAAAAATTACAAAATTTACAAAAATTAACCATGGTAACCTCAGTTTCCGCCCTAAAACCATGAATTACAGTTATTGCTATTGCTGTAAAACATAATACAGTTATTACTGTAAAATATTATACATGAGACCCAGTAAGACGCTTTCTCTGACTGAAGGAAAAAACTTACCTGAGTAAACCAAAACGGCCACACAGAGCAAAATTTTGTAAATCCACATGTCGCTTTGGATAGTTGTATTTGACCCCCCCAAAATACACAAGAGATGTCAGAAGTCTTGGCGTTTTCCTCCTTTGAATAAGGCTGTTTGTCAGAGATAGTCTCTAAGTGGCTGCAGCTGACTCTCGCGGACAGTGAGCGAGCGCGCAGTGAACTGACTGAAGATGAGCGCGAGCTGAGAGACTCTACCTCACGCGCTCCCTCCCCTTTCCCTCAGCCCATTTAAAGTCGCCTCGCCACTGTCCATTCCTCCACATAATATTATCGCATTTCCTGATAGACACCGAGGCTGTTGAACCGATCCGGGAAGTAAAATCAATGCAAATTGTTTATATTTGTTGCCTGTCTAATTTATTGGAGCGGATGGAAAGTGTTGAGGAGATGTCAACACAGCTGTGTGATGCTGACTAACCTCCCTGAGGGTGTTCGCGAGGAAAGTTGTGAATTGATAAACTCTGGGCCACTCACGTTGTTTTAGTTTGTAAGACGCAATGGTTTATTTTACATTTGGTTATCGACAACCCTTTTAGTCATGAACTCGGGCACGAAATTATTAATCACGTTCACGTTATCATTCACAAACATGCTATCATTTTACTGTATAAAAATCTACCATGCCAATCTTAGTTTATGACAAAATATTATAGATAATACAGTTTCCACAGTTCAGTGTACAGATAAAATTGATTATTGATATTAGCCAAACGTTAAATAAATAAATATTCCCGCGCTTTTCTACTGCGTTTTTGTAGGACATAATGTAGGCTACTGAATAAATTAATGAATAAATGAATAAGCAATAAAAATAAATAACTGATTAGACAAAATGGCAGTTTTGTTATTCATTATTGATATAGCCAAAGAAATATGCGTCAAATAGATAGATAGATAGATAGATAGATAACACACACACACACACACACATGTAGGCCTATGAATGTACACACACACACACACACACACATATTTCTGTGCTTTTTATGGAACATAGATAGAAAGAAAGAAAGAAAGAAAAGAAAGAAAGAAAAAGAAACTAACTTTAAAACTTTAAACCAACTAAATAAATACTAAGGAACTGCAGCAGAAATTGGTTATCATGCTAAGTCTGAAGTAATTATAATCTATAATGTATTTATGTGATCCTTTCAGCTGTTATTCTTGCAATTTGTTTTATGGATTCATACCAGCAGGCAGCACATTAAAGTCCTACATCTGTGAAAATTCTCAGAACTACACAACATATGAAGTTTTAAATTAGCAACTACTTTCTGTTGAGAGATGGAGCTCATCTACTCATTGTAATCAGAAGCTTACAATACTGATGTCACGATGAACATAACTCATCTTCCCATGCCACGCATTTCAGATGGAAGAGAGGGATGAGAGCAGGTTGGAAGCACGAGTTGTTTATTAAACAGCACTACACTCAAGATGCTCTCCTCTTCTCTTGGAACAGAAAGAGCTGTTCTATTGTGCTCCGTGATGGAAATACTCTCCATCTGTTTATTTGTGGTGCGTTCATTTTTAAACAGGTATCCCAGGCTGTTTTGCTTGGATGGATTTGAGCTTTTCATGTTTGGATATCAATTTTTTCACTCAGTTTGGCATGTTTGTGTATGGCTGGTTGTTTAAGCGCGCTGTGTTTGTATTAGTTTAGTTAATAGCAGTAGTGTTTGAATGTCCTCCGTGACTCTGTGATCGTATTGCTTCTCCTTCCTCTGATGATGGAGGTACAAACTACAAATGCCAAACGACATGCCTGACGGCCTCATGGGAGCAATCAGTCACTGTGTGCGTGTATCTAACACTGTTTCCAGCAGTGTCATTCCACATCCTGTCCTTACATCTCTCCACACCTCTGGGTGAATCTCACAACATATCCAGATTACATTTCACCCATAGAATTAACAGAAAAAACACACAAAATTATATTTTGCATAATGACAATGAATTTTTTTTACGTTTTGATAAAATTTTCAAGACAATTAAACACATTTCACCACAAAATTGTCATTACAGAATGTGTCAGGAGTCAGGACATTTTTTTTTTCAATTACTCCCCACTTATTAGGTGATCCTTTTCATATTTCCACTATTTACTGTCATTTAATAATAAATGTAATAATTAAATACTGCAATATAATTATATATACACATTCAAAAGGCTAAAGTCAATAAATATTTTTTGAGGGGAAAAAAACTTTAAGATGCATTGAATTGATCAAAAGTGACAATAAAACCTTCACATTGTATCTCTCTCTCCCACACACACACAAATAAAATAAATTAAAAATATTGTAAATAAATGCTGTACTTTTAAACTTTATATTCAATCCGCAGAACTGTTTTCAACAATTATAAATATAAGAATGAGACATATTTCTTGGGCTGGAATATGTTACAGTAGTTTAAAATTGTAATATATATATATATATATATATATATCATTTGAGCTCCACTGACTTCACCCTTACTAGTATTTGCTGCTCCAAGTTACTTATTTGTTCAAGTTAACATCCTCAACTATCGCATCATGCCCAGATGAATGACTTCTAGATGCTTCTCTGCTGCAAATCACTGTCAGTGTGAATGTTCCTTCACTCCTCTGCTCTTCCTGAAGTGCTGTCTATCTCCTTCTCTGCTAACATCTGAGTGACTCTCTACTACACAAAAACAATGTAGCAACATGGATCAACATGTCAGGAGCCCTTGGTCTGCGTAAAGAGGCTTCGAACCACCATAACTAAGAGCAGATGCACGTAGATTGCACAAGCTGACATCAGAAGAATCCCACTGTTGAAGTCAGAATTACGAGATCTGTGGTCAACCAGGCCACTTAGTTGCGTCTAAGTTTGCAAAAATTGTGCGCAACACATATGCGGAGATTGGCAATAAATTAAGAAACATTCATTAAAGGACATTTATAGGATGAGAAAAGACATTGATCAGATTGGGAATTTAACAAGGAATTTGCTTCACAGCCACATCAGTGAATAAGTGCAGTGAATTTCATGTGTTCAGGGTGGTCAGAACCACACATCTAAAGGTCACTTTCAGTCTTCAAGGAAGAAGTTTTGAAAACGATCCTTAATTAAAGGGAACGTTCATAAATTGTCCATGTGGAATCTGTTACTTCATTATGACTGCACAAAGGTACAGCTGTGATTCCCACATAACATGCTACTTTGTGAAAGTGAATCGCATGAATCATATTCATAATCTGCTGAAGTTGCAACAGGCTTGATATCTGGATCGGAACGCAAACAGCGATTTTGCCACATGTGGTTTGGTCTATGTGTTTAGCCCTTGTTCCCACAAATAAACAAAACAACAGACTAATTCACTCTAGTGTGTGGCTGGTGTCTAACGAAGACCATGTGCAGTGAACACAAACATATAATGAGTCATTCAGTGTGGTGCTGATGTGGTAAAGATGTAAAGAGCTACAGACAACAGACTAATTTACCTTTCAGTCAACACAGGGATGTGTTATCGCTGCTGTGCACATAAACACATAAACATACACATATTTACAAGCACACTTATTCTATCTATCTATCTATCTATCTATCTATCTATCCATTTATCATCTATCAATTTATCCATCCATCCACCCATCCATCCATCTATCATCTATCCATCCAACCATTTATCATCTATCATTCTATCCATCCATCCGTATCATGTATTAATCCATCCATCCACCCATCTATTAATCCATCCATCCGTTTATCATCTATCATTCTATCCATCCATCCATATCATGTATCAATCCATCCATCCACCCTTCTATCGATCCATTCATCCTTCCATTTATCATCTATCATTCTATCCATCCATCCATTTAACATCTATCATTCTGTCCATCCATCTAACTATCATCTATTAAACCATCCATCCATCCATCTGTCATCTATCCATCCATCCATTTATCATCTATCATTCTATCCATACATCCATCTGTCTGTCATCTATCCATCCATCCATTTATCATCTATCATTCTATCAATCCATCCATTTATCATCCATCCATCTTTTATACATTCACTATACATTCACTATTAACTAAGAGTTTTCTCTAGTAATAAACTCCTAATTACTGCTTATTGATTGTAAGTTGTTTGCATTAGTTATGTTTAGGTATGGAGTAAAGATCTAGAATATGACCATGCACAAGGCATTATGTGCTTAAAGTACTAATAAACAGCCAATATGCAAGTAATATGCATGCTAATAAGCAACTATTAAAAGTGAAGGTTGTTCCCTAATTTAAAATGTTACCCTGCATCCTGTTTGCCCCTTCAGTTGAAATTGAATTCAAACTGAGAATCTGATTTGGAAATTGAAAGGCATTTTCAATTCAATTCTGGGTTGTGCACAGATCTGCTAAATGTATGTATAATTGGGTGACATAAACCTTGCAAACTTTCAAATCCAGCGTAGCAGTTTAGTAATTAGAAACACAGCAGACTGATAAAAACCAGCACTGTGGATTCTGGAAATTACATAATGTTAGCCAATCAGATCAAACTTTCCATTTTGAGGATGTATATTATGTGTGTAACATTTATCAGATGGTCTGCGAACGGTCAGAAAGAGCGCCATCTGAAGTCAATGCTACACACACACAACGCTGCTGTAATAAGGAGGAGTGGAAAACAAGGCAGAAAGTCCTTACAGATAGAATGATGATGGTATTAAGAGAAAAGTGCCCCATGTGGAAAACTAAGATGGAGAGATGGAAATTATGACACATGGAGAGAGACAGACAGAGCAATTTTCAAGCATAAAAAGCATAGGAGGTTAGTTCATGAGGGTGCTAATAGATTTCCTGCAGCTTTGTCGAGATTTGTCATTCAGATCTGCTGCACGTTTTAGCTTCAGCTGCAGCAAATTACCTGAACCCGTTTCTGACCTCCAAGAACTCACAATATCCTGGCAACCCCTCCTAAAATACATGCAGACACACTTCAGTTTCGCCTCCCCCCACATACTCAAAACGTTGAGCAGGTATGTGGAACACAAAAATTATACAATAAAATGCAGTCACTTACAAACAAAGCATACAGCTGCATTTGAGCATCCTGTGGTGAAGCTTCCAGGCACAGTAAACAGAAGAGTCCTCTCCAAATAAACACACACTTCCTGTGTGTGACTCTCACTCTGGATTAGAGAT